CCCTGTGTGTTGGCCCTGCGACAGACTGGCGACCTGTCCAGGGTGTACCCCGCCTCTCGCCCTATGACAGCTGGGATAGGCTCCAGCACCCCCCGCGACCCTGAAAAGGATAAGCGGAAGTGAATGGATGGATGGATGGTATTTTTTCATTTAAAAGCAAGGATTTAATTAAGACTCTCAGTTTTGCACACTTGAAAACGTACAGTACCAGAGGATTGTTTTTACTACTTCTTCATCATTTACCTGCTCCCATTAGGGGTCTCCTCACTCTATCCCTGTCATCCTCCTTTGTGACACCAACTCTCCGCATGTCCCCCTTCACAACATCGATGAATCCTCTGTGATCTTCCTCTTTTCCCTTTCCTGGCAGCTCCATATTCAACATCCTTTATCCAGTATATCCACATCCTCTGCACATCTGCAAGTCTCACCCTGAGCATTTTCATTTCATTTTTAATCCTAAATTTCAGCTCTGCCTCCTGTCTTTTCAATAACACCTGGATTATTATTTTTTTTTAAACGGTTCTTACCCTATAGGCATCATCATGTGTTTCATTCGCTCTGTACTTTTCGATTTTGTTTATCAGATGACGCCTTTATCAACCCTCAGCTGGCTAAAATCTTTGAGCGTGTTCGACAGAGTGCAGACTTCATGCCTACTAAGCAGATGATGGTACAGTATGGAGAGCGCTGGCAAAATATACAAATAAAGTTACATTTCTCCAGTTAATTTTTTTTCTTTTTCTCTCTACAGAAAGTCATTTGCAATGATCTCGGCCCAAACTGGAGGGACAAACTGGAATACTTCGAGGAGAGGCCATTCGCAGCCGCGTCCATTGGTCAAGTCCATTTAGCAAAGATGAAGGATGGCCGGGAGGTAGCCATGAAGATTCAGGTGAGAGAAGTGCTTATGCTGAGATAAATGCAAATGTTAAGTGGGTCATAAGTCAGCGAATGGAATAAAATAACTCAATCAAATCTTTTCCTTCAGTACCCTGGAATAGCAAAGAGTATCGAGAGTGACGTGAATAATATCATGACTGCCCTGAGGTTAAGCAACGCACTGCCTGAAGGTATTTTTCTTATCATTTAGGGATAACAGCTGCTATTGTCTGATCTTTGTAAACCTGCAGCTCGACCACAATGATTTTCAACCCCCCCCTCCCATTTGTCCTCTTTTTCCAGGTTTATTTCCTGAGCATCTCATTGAGGTCATGAGTCGAGAGTTGGCGCTGGAATGTGATTATATAAGGGAAGCAAATTGTGCCAGAAAATTTCAGTGAGTTGTTTGCATTTATTCTTACTAAATTGACTGAGCTTGGGTAATGTTTTACTTGTCTTTGCTAGAAGCGTGCTTTGCACCAGAACTTCCATCTAGCTACAGTTAGCCACAATCGCTACTTCTCACACAACACTGTTCAGATTTTAGTAAAACACAGTGATCACCTACTTGGTCTTCACTAAAACTGCTCAAGGTCAGGATCACGTTTGTTATTTTATGAGCAGTCACCTGTGAATTGTGATGACATGGTGAGACAGATGAGCTGCTGCATCATTGACATTCTGGCTTGTGGCCTTTATCTGTGTTATTTTATTTAATTTTTTTTATTATTTAGCAGTTTGTGTATAAATGCATTGTTAGGTTTTAGATTTTGAGTTTTAAAAAATATTCCTCATATAGTCTGTGGCTTTTGCGTCAACTTCCCAGAATTCAGTTGTGTTCCCGCCTCCTCAGACATTCAGGTTGTTTCACCATTGGTGCCTCTATTTTTGGTATTTTGGGCTATTTTAGCTACTGTACTGTATTTCTTATCCACAAGAAAATACTTTGTAGTGTTTTGAACCCTCTGATTTTGTTTAACAACATACAAACTTATTTTAACCTTTGGTCTCTGCCAGTTTTTCCTGGAAAGTCCTACCAGGCAACAACTTACAATAATAGCTGCTGCATAATGAATGATATACAGTATACACAAACATTACTATTCCCATATAGTTCCCATAGTAACACCTTCACAGCTCTTGTTGTGTCACAATGAGCCCTAAAGATATTTTTGATTTAGGTTCATGCCCTTGACATTTTCAGCAGCAAGCGGCTTTGATAAAGGAGCCATTTGGCAACAAACAGCAACTAAATCATGAACATGCAGTACTGTGCAAAAGCCTTGAGCCCCACCCCTCATTTCTTTCCATTTTGCTCACGAAATGAGTGCAGTATTTATTGAAACACATTCCAACATAAATGGAAATGCATAAAAATAAAAAATCTAACAAGCTTGAAATTCCATATTTGTTATGGCCATCATTATTCTTCAATACAGCCTGAACTCTCTTAGGCAAGCTTTCATATTATGTGTGTGTGT